TCCCACCTCTTTTGCATACTTACTCAACACATCTAGAAATAAACCATCAACGATTTCCGGTCGATATATGGCCAACACCTGCAAATTTGCACTGCATTGATTTAAAAAGAACTCTAAAATACATGCATCAATAGACAATTTAAACCCAAAATATTTTAAACATTCTGGTATCGCCTCAGAAAATTTAGTCAAACTATCGGTTGAAAGAAAAGGACATTCAGTTGAATTACTATATAATGAAAAATGAACCAAGTTTTTTAAAGATCTAAGTAGCGTAAATAATAGGTCAGGAATTTCAGGTGTAACCAAAGTTAAGGACAAATGCGTTAAATGTTTACAATTATTTCCAATCTGTTGAGTGAGAAAAGGAGTAACATCTTCCAAATATAATGTCCTCAAATTATTATTAGACATCTGTAATATGGGAATGATAAAATTTTGGGAGTCGACATGTGATCTTTCATCTCGATAATATAAATGTTTAATATTAATCTGACCAGTTGTAGCATTCCTCAATGATTTCATCTTATCATCATCATGATCATTAACGTCATCGTCCTCTTCTTTGTCAGAGTTGAAGCCCAAAAATTGTAAGGTCACCAAATTAACGAGAATAGGTAGAATAGGTAACAAAAGTCCAAATTGATCACTATCCAAATGATGAAATTTCAAATAAGTCAAAGATTTCCATTGACATATTAAAGAATTAAATAAAATATCTGCAACATATGGACTCCAAAATTCCACAATAATTAATTCTCTAACAGCTTTTTGTGCTTCGATTAATCTTTTAAAACTTTTTGCAATTTGTACTAATTCATCATCTTTTCCAGCCAGATTCGTAATATTAATATAAATATATTGAATATTATGAGAACATTCAGCCATGAAATTAAATAAATTTGAAATAATTTCTGAAGACTTATCATCATCAGTATCATTTAATTTCCAACCAGAATAATCAAATTGAAAATTTTCTAATCTTGATAAAGCTTTATTCGCATCATCAAAAGTAGCAATATCAATTATTAAAGAATCATCATCATCTTCGAAATGAGCAAGATCTAGATCTCTTAATCCTTTACTATGACTAAATAATAGATTTCCTATTACACATTGTACAAGATAGGTGTAAGTACATAAATCAGGATCATCATCCTTCTCAGAATCGAGACGATAATTTGCACGAGTTGTAAGCCAAGACATTATAGCACCAGTAAAAAAAAGCCGAATCAAAGCTTTGTAAATATTTGGAATAATCAAAAAGAAGAGGAGTAACAGGAGGGAGGTCAAGACCTTCGTCAATTAAAAGTTGACGTTCGTCTTCAGGTAAGCAAGAGATGTACATTTGGATTATATCGGAAGAACGCTCACCAAAACCATGTACTTCGAAGGGGTGACTCCATAAAAGAGGGATGGCAGTCCGACACCATAGACGGTTGACCAATATACATGAGTAGAGAGTTTTGGGAGAATCTATTAGATGACTCAGTATTTCTTCGAAACAATCGAAGGTTAATGAGGTAGGGATTAAATTTTGTAGAGTGTTTTCCTCAAGTGTCATAGTCATAGCTATGTAAGAGATAAAAAATTATAAAGAAGTGAGTTAACGATCATTAAGATCATTATAATTGTACTAGATAACTTAAAACATACCAATACTTTTTAAGAGAAATAGCCTTTGCAAAATCCCACGTTATACGAAGCAGTCGATTATGTTATGCCTAATTGGACAGTTTTATACAGATGTTAATTTTTTTTACAAATATGGAATTCAAATAAGTTAGAATATAGTTTAACTTCCTATGTACAAAGTGTTAGCAATTTTTTCTTGCGGCCAACCAATTTTTTTGGCCTTTGGCCGGCTAAAATAGGCAACGGTCAATGGCAGTACGTATTTAAACTTCGGCCAAAAGTTTCTAACTTGTATAGCATTAACCAATTATATTACTAGCTTTTCTATACGAATATTTAATAAACTTTTTTGCCCAATTTGGTGGCCATTGACCAGCCAAATGGCCAAGTGACAATATCGATATTGTATTTACAGTACCGAAGTGCTGGACAGCAAATAATAATTCAAGAATTAAATATTTTTAGCAAAAATCCCTCTTAAATATTTGTTGTCTTTTATCCAAGCTACAATTCTTTTAGAATAGATTATTATTTGGTCATAATTTTAAAAAGTTATAAACACAAAGTTTGGCCCGATTTAGTTAGAGTTGGCCTGCTTTATAGTTAGTGTTGGCTAGAGAAACCTTATTATGTATTTAAAAGTTATCTATATGAGTGCGTGAGAGTGAAAACCTGGAAATAGATTTAATGATTTACTACATATGATTGATTACAGGTTTTCACTCTCACACACCCATATGAATTACTGTTATATAAAAATTGACCAATCATAATCAATTAAAGAATTATGTAATCTTCAAATTTGGGGGTCCGCTAAAGCCTTGTACCCACGTGACTTTTTTTATGTAGATCAATCAAAATCATGAGATTTTGTTTACACGGATCAGCCCGAAGAAATCAGAAAATCAAAAAAACGAGAAAATATGAAAAACGGCAGTCTAAACCTGTCTTGGTACATTAATAAAAAATGTCAGGAAGGAAATTTTACTTATATGCCTGCCCTTACCTTAACAATAAAACTAACCCTAACCCTAATTACAATTAAAACTTCGAAAGTCATGTGGGTACAAGGCTTTAGCGATCCCCCAAATTTGGCAAATTTGGCGCTTTTGAGGTACGTATCGGTATTTTTTTTTGTTGTCCGGTATTGTACGACGGAAGTTCTAAAGTCCGTATTCGGAAATTTCTTAACTTACAACCTGAGTCTGGTCAGTAAGTTAAGTGTTGTTTGCAGTAAAGCCGAAATATTTTTATTAAAGAACGAATTCTTTATCTTTTTATATGTATATGATAGAGTTTAAAACCGGTTTTATTTTCATATGTTAACCCCGGCTTCAATCGGTTTTAACATAAGAAAAATAAAACCGGTTCCAAACTAGTATATGAAATGTGAAGAAAAAACAAGAATCTACCGATATTATATATTAAAAAATTGGAAAATGCTACGTAGAGCTTTTTTTTTTTACCAAAATTATAACTTAAATATAATCATTTAACGTCTATACATATATAAAGTACAAAAAAAAAGATTATCATTATTCGCGTTATTCATATGCATGTATGCTAAGGATACCCTTCATATTGACCGTTCTCCGGATGATAGGAATATGCGGAATGCTGTGAGTGATCCATATCCATATCATATTCTTGTCGTTGATCCGAATGGTAATGCTGTTGAGGGAACAATTGTTGGCACACCACCGGTGTTGATGGTTCTTCGGGATATAACTCTGATTCTTGCCTTCTATGACTATTTTTCGTATTACTACCATTAATATTAGCGATTTCCGGAGAAATCTTTAACGGTTTTTGCGTTGTAGCTTGTTCCGGAGAGACTTTTAACGAATTAGGTGTAGTTATTTGACGAGAATTAATCGAAACACTATCATTATTGGTTTGATTTAATTTATCGGAATTGGAAATTGATTGACTAAAGAATTCTTTTTGTTGTTCTTTAGTGAATCCCGATCTTTCTTTACCCCATTTTGCTTTTTCCCACTGTATCCGCCTACATCCAATGGCTGTTATTAAAAAAAAGATAACATTCATCCAGCCCATGATTAGTGATACGGAAAAATAAACGCATTGATCGTGAGGTTCGGTTTTAGCACATGATAGATTAAATCCGGTGTAAACTGTAGTTAAATTCGCGAGTCCTAATTAACAAATTATTTTTATCAAATCATCATTACCAGAGTCTCGCTATCAACAAATAAATGTATGGATTTATGCTCTTGCATACTCACCAGCGGTTAGCCATACGATGAAAAAACATCTATTGTAAGAACGCACGATAAAAAACAAAATTTTTTATGAATACATAATCAAAAAAAAACCATTAATATTTGTAATGTCACTTACAGATCAAACGTAATATTTGGCCCTTGTCCCCATTGCTTATGAAATTGTGATAAATAATATCCTAAAAAATAAAATAAAAAATAAATAAATAAATAAATATATATATATATATAATAAAAACAAAATGAAAAAGAAAATAATAACAATTTTTCATTTTTTAAATATTAATAAAATTTTATTTAGACATACCAATTCCGATTAATGTAACAAAGATTACAACATAAAAGAAATATTTGGTTTCTCCATTGTAACTAAAGGGAAAATAATTATTTTCGATCTATTTGTTTATATAATCTCATAATCCAAAGATTATAAAAATATTTACACGTAATGTCTCTCAAAAAACGAAGTTTTTGGAAGAGTGCTGTCTATTTGTGAAAGATATTGACAATAGGCTACAAACTGCAACACTTCTACAAATATCATCCGAACGATTGGAATTCATCGGAAAGAAAAAATACATATACACATAAATTTCATCTCTTTCTAAGACATAAACATGTATCAAAATGCGATATAATGTAGGTACATACCCAATATCAATATTGCCAAGGTCATTAACCATTGAAAAATCTTTATTGCTTTAAAAATTTGTGGATGTGATCGTAATTCTATCATGGTCGTTTATTCCTCTATCGTATTATTATATTATCACAGTCGAAAATAAATACATAAGAAAAGGAGGAACAAAATGTTTCGTATTCGACCAGATAGTGGGCATGATGCTCGACCTTTGGAGTTATTAACGATTTCATTTCCTTAATTGGTGACAAGGGGAAACTGCATCACAAAAAAACATCAAAGCCAAACGCAATTCTTTAAAGTAACCGCACGTCGTACAGTTGCTTACATCCAAAGTCTTATTAAATTACCCCCACTTATTATCTTATATATTTGTGTTATTTAATTACTGCTAAATGTTTTTTGTAACCATAAAAGAGAGATAATCTTAATGATTTATTTGTTAAATTAATTGCAAATATTGCAATTATACAAAATTGGATGATGCTTTAATGTAAGTAGACAAATTAGTTGGTTCATATTTTCACCCTTAAAAAGCAAACATTACAACAATGGAAATTGTGTCATCGATGTAGCATGCATTCTCCTTATTATGCTAGTACAAGTATTGTTTTTTGATGTGTATGCGTGCATTTTGTTTGCGCAATTGCACACAGCGCAGCACAGCAGTGTTGTTAACGGAGTACTATTACTCTCCCTACTTATCTATTTTCCGTAGTAAAGATTCATATGATAAACGGTATACCCCTTTATTGTTTAGAAATTTCGATTATTATGATAATACACAATATCTCGAAATGCAGGAACAACGTTGCGGGTTGTGAATTACGTAGCATTTAACGATAACTTTTACCGTTGTTTACCATATATATTATTTAATCGCGGGCCCTCATCTGAAATTTTAATTTAAATAAGGGTTTTTTTCATGTCAAAGAATCTTATGTCAAGAATTTTATGTCGAAGAATATAATGTAAATCTTAAAAAAAGGATGTAAAATCTGGTAATATTAATATCTTAAACATCCTTGTACGTATTCAAGATATAAACTGAATGATTTAAGCAATATTATTAGAGCGATAGGTGATTTTTTGGTTAAATTTTAAATGCCGAATTAGAAATACTTGCTAGCAAAGCCACGAATTAATTGCCACAAACAGAATAACTTGACAGTGAAATGAATTGTTGTTTAATTTGATCTAGAACGATAATGTAACGGTAAATGAGGTCATGAATTGTTATAAAATTGGATCCATGAATGAGATCCTACTTTTGACATGAAATGAAATCATTTGAGCAGTAATGTGAAGAGTAAATACTTTATGAAGGTCAAATGTTGGACATTTGATTTCGTAGAAAGAAGTTACTACCGTAGTGCACTGACCAAAAGACCCGGGGTCTAATACAAAATACCCGTTCAAAAAACTTACAAAAGACCGGGTATATTATACAGCAGTGGGTCTGTGTCACAAGAAAGAGACATTTCATTTTTATACATACTCCGCATTCATGATAAACAGTTTAAATTTTTAAAAAATCCTATATTAAATTAATAGAGATCTCGTGTTTTGCACCGGGTATTTTGCAAGGGGATACTGAAAAAGGGATCAGTGCGCTATATTATCAGTTAACCAATTTGTCACATCTAAATTTTTTATACAGGTGGGTGACAAAAATATTTCCACACCTAAGGACTTGGCTTATAACTCAAAAA